CAAGCTGAAACTACATTATAATTCGTCTTAGTTTAGAGATTAACATGAACTGCTTTGATATTGAGTAAAAACATTACAAATTCTTTGTCAAACAAATTTTTCTCAGGTATGGTAACACACACAGTCCCTAAAAGAACATCAAGAATCACAGACCTCGGCGCCAAAGTACATCATCCACGATTTAGCGATCGTTTGCGCTTCAGACTCTCCGCTTTCCTCATTTTCCCAAGAGTATTTCTTCACTATGTTAATCGGTTTGGTTGAAAGAATGATTTGCTGATTCAAGGTTTCTTTCTTTTGTTCATCAAGCGGGAAAAAATCTGGTAACATTCTGGAACCTTTTCGACATAACATCTCTTGGCGCTGTCGTGTCCGTTCAGATTTGCTCAATCTGCGTTTTTTACGAGAGGTGTTACATGGCATCATATATTCTTCAAAGATTTTCGGTGTGGAAGGGATTTCCATGCTGTCTTTTAAACTGTATTTTCTGGTGATTATCTTCCTTTTTGCTTGGCAAGTTTGGTTGCTGACAATCGATTCAGTACTGTCTGATATTTCTTCAACTCGGCGCTGTTCACTTTAAGTGATACAAAACTATAAATATTATAAATTGAACTATCTCTTTTCTGATTGGCCGAAAGCGTACAGTGAATTTTCGAAATCAGCGCCTGTGACGTCATCTCTGTAGATTATGCAATAATCATATCAAGGACACTCAAGGTCACGGGTAATCATGTCAAGTTCGCGCACTTTGTGTTGCTTGCCGTCAGTGAAGAAGAAAAGACATGACTTCCATTTTTTTCGTTCAATGTGTAATAAAACAATTATTAAATTCCGTTTTTGATATCCAGAATAATCAAGGTCTCGGTAAGAGTTATCAGGCTCAGCCTTCGGCTTCGGCTGATAACCCCTACCTCGACCTTGATTATTCTGGGTATCACAAAAACCTCATCCAATAATTGTTTAGAAGCAGCATCATACCCAGAAATTGAAAACAAGCCAGTGACGTACACACACAGCACACGTCCTTGAGAACAGACAACAAAGGAACTGAAACAATTGGCGGGTGATTCTGTTTGTATCTCCTCGTCTTAAATGATTCATGTAACCAAGTAACAAACATACATTCTAAATTCCTTAGTCTACGGTTTTGTTTAAAACTTGAAAGTATCCTGTCCAGTCTCTGAAAAGCATTGAGGTGCTACTGGACGGTCATTCGTCAACACGAATGGTATGCGGTTACTTCTACATAACAGAGCACCAAGTATCACCGGCCTCGAAGCCAAGACTACATCTTCCACGATTAAGTCATCATTCGGGCTTTGTGGACACTTCGTTATCTATGCTTTGCCGAATCTAATGCCTCCCTTTTACTGGGTGTGTCATAAAGGAAAAAAACTGCAAAGCGTTTTGAACCTTTCACAAGACATCCTCCGGGTTTGTGCATTCTGAAGTTTGTCAAAAAAGCTCAGTTAGACGACACGGGAGATGTTTTGTCGAAAATGTTTTTTTTTTAGAGTAATGTTGTGGTAATAGTTTCATAGTGTCTAAAAACATGGATTCAAGGGAAGCTTTCGTCTGTCTTGAAGTGTTCTATCCTTCGTAATTTTCGGATCCTCTTTGATCTTTTAATCTGACTGCAAGATTGCTCAAAAATTTAAACTGGCTATGACTTAGTTTTGAAAAGAAGTTCACCAAAAGGGCCTCTCCATTAAAAGGAAGAAAATCCGAAGCCAAGTTGAGTTATGTCTCTGACGATTCTCGATATTTACTTACAAGCGATCTTTGTAAATAATCGTATATTTGAGACTTCCATGTTCACTTTACATTGATGATACGGAAATCACGTCTCAAAATCTGATGCCTTAATGACTATTTGCATACACCTCAACTGTTTGAAGAAGAATCGTTTCCTTGTTTTTAATAACCATGCCTGAAATGTAATCCTATAGGGCGAAATTAGATGAATGTTTTGCTGTTGTTTCCCAACAATTATTTTCAGCTAAGTGTGTGAGGTTTTCTGTGACACTGAAAGATGTCAAAATCTATGTGGTTCCGCCAAAGAAACAAGATTGTTTACAATAAGTCGTGTTTTGGAGAAAAACGGAACTAAAAACAAGAATCCAATTAGCAGATACGTTTGCAAATAGCAGCACGCACATGCAAGTTAGAAAATTGATACAGCCTATTGTGTAAAAGACAATGTACATCCTCTGTCAAACGAATTTCGTTCAGGCATGGTAACATACAAATCTCTAAAAGAACATCAAGAATCATAGGCCTCGGAGCCAAAGTACATCATCCACGATTCAGCGATACGTTTATCGTGTTTTGGGGAAAAACGCAACTAAAAACAAGAATCAATTAGCGGATACGTTTCCAAATAGCAGCACGGACACGTTAGTTAGAAAATTGATACACCCTATTATGTAACCTTTTCAACTAATCTCAAGCTGAAACTACATTATAATTCGTCTTAGTTTAGAGATTAACATGAACTGCTTTGATACTGAGTAAAAACACTGCACATTCTTTGTCAAACGAAGTTTTCTTAGGCATGGTAACACACACAGTCCCCCAAAGAACATAAAAAATCACAGGCCGGCCTCGGCACCAAAGGACATCATCCACGATTCAGCGATCGTTTGCGCTTCAGACTCTCCGCTTTCCTCATTTTCCCAAGAGTATTTCTTCATTATTTTAATCAGTTTAATTGAAAGAATGGCTTGATGATTCAAGGTTTCTTTCTTTTATTCATCAAGTAGGAAAAAATCTGGTAGCATTCTCGAACCTTTTCGACATAACATCTCTTGGCGCTGTCGTGTCCGTTCAGATTTGCTCAATCTGTGTTTTTTACGAGAGCTGTTACATGGCATCAGATATCCTTGAAAGACTTTCTATGTCGAAGGGATTTCCATGCTGTCTTTTACAACGTATTTTCTGGTGATTATCTTCCTTTTTGCTTGGCAAGTTTGGTTGTTGACAATCGGTTACTGTCTGATATTTCTTCTACTCGACGCTGTTTACTTAAAGTGATACAAAACTATAAATAGAAGCAGCATCATACCCAGAAATTGAAAACAAACCAGTGACGTACACATACAGCACACGTCCTTGAGAACAGACAACAAAGGAACTAAAACAATTGGCGGGTGATTCTGTTTGTATCTCCTCGTCTTAAATGATTCATGTAACCAAGTTACAAGCATACATTCTAAATTCCTCAGCCTACGGTTTTGTTTAAAACGTGGAAGTATCCTGTCCAGTCTCTGAAAAGCATTGAGGTGCTACTGGACGTTCATTCGTCAACACGAATGGTATGCGGTTACTTCTACATAACAGAACACCAAGTATCACCGGCCCCGACGCAAAAAGTACATCTTCCATGATTAAGTCATCATTCGGGCTTTATGGACCCTGGGCTATCTGTGCTTTGCCGGATCTAATGCCTTCCTTTTACTTGGCGTGTAATAAGGGAAAAAAATCTGGAGAGCTTTTCGGACCTTTTCAAGACATCTCCCGGGTCTTTTGTGCCTATCCGGGCTTCTGCATTCTATGATTTGTCAAAAAGCTCAGATTTAGACGACTTAGGAGATTTTTTGTCGAAAATGTTTTTTAGAGTTATGTTGTGGTAATAGTTCCATATTGTCTAAACACATGGATTCAAGGGAAGCTTCTGTCTGTCTTGAAGTGTTCCTTCTTACGTAATTTATTTTCTCTTTTCCATCTTGCGTAATTTGATCTGACTGCAAGATTGTTCCAAAAAAATTGAAATCGCAATGACTTACTTCGGGTCTCTCCATTAACAGGAAGAAAATCCGAAGCTTCGGTTCTGTCTCCGATTGAGGATTCTCGATATTTACTTACAAGCAGTTTATTTGAGATTTTTATGTTCGCTTTACATCGGTGATACGAAACCACGTCTCAAACTCTGATTCCCTAATGATTATTTACAACACCTCAACTGTCTGAAGCAGAATCGTTTACTTTCTTAATGAATATACTTGCAGCGCTATCCTATAGGGCGAAATTAGATAAATGTTCTGATGTTGCTTCAAAACAATTATTTTTAGCTACGTGTGTGGGGTTTTCTGTGACATTGAAAGATGTCAAAATCTGTTTAGTTCCACCCAAGAAACAAAATTGTTTACAATTAGTCGTGTTCTGGGAAAAAAACGGAACTAAAAACAAGAATCCAATTAGCAGATACGTTTGCAAATAGCAGCACGGGCATACAAGGTAAAATAATTGATAGAGTCTATTATGCAACATTTTCAACTAATCTCAAGATGAAACCACGCACATTATAATTCGTCTTAGAGATTAACATGAACTGCTTTGATACTGCGTAAAACTGACAATGCACATTCTTTGTCAAACGAATTTCTTTCAGGCATGGTAACAAACACAGTCCTTAAAAGAACATCGAGAATCACAGGTCTCGAGGCCAAAGTACATCATCCACGATTCAGCGATCGTTTGCGCTTCAGACTCTCCGCTTTCCTCATTTTCCCAGGAGTACTGCTTCACTGTGCGAATCTGTTTAGTTGAAAGAATGATTTGATGATTGAAGGTTTCTTTCTTTTGTTCATCAAGCGGGAAAAAATCTGGTAGCATTCTCGAACCTTTTCGACATAACATCTCTTGGCGCTGCCGTGTCCGTTCAGACTTGCTCAATCTGCGTTTTTTACGAGAACTGTTACATGGCATCATATATCCTTGAAAGACTTTCTGTGTCAAAGGAATTTCCAGGCTGTCTTTTAAAACGTATTTTCTGGTGATTATCATCCTTTTCGCATGCCAAGTTTGGTTGCTGACAATCGGTTACCGTCTGATATTTCTACTACTCGGCGCTGTTTACTTGAGGTGATTCAAAACTATAAATAGAATCAGCATCATACCCAGAAATTGACAGCAAACCAGTGACGTATACACCCAGCACACGTCCTTAAGAACAGACACAAGACGCAAAACAGTTAACGGGTGCGTCTGTCTGTTTGTTTGTCTCCTCGTCGTTAGTGCTGCATGCATTAGAAAAGAGCATGGTCAAATCATTATCATTGGCGAAAAGCGAGAAGATGTGTGAACTGGCAGGATAACGATTGTTTGATGCTCCCGGTTTGATCTCGTCATTATCCGTTGTTGATATAATAAATTCGTACAGATTGCACCCACCTTCACACGAAATTCACAAGTGGGCACGCATAACATTGCTATGTTACTGATATCACATATTGTCAAAAGAAATTTAGAGCAAAGAGCTCCAACAAATACATGAATTGATGATTCGTTTTTTTTTCTCTTAAAGCACGAGGTTGCTATTTACAATCTAACAAGCGACGATCAATACCAGTCATGTATTTCAGGCCTTTCTTGCTAATAGATAAATTGTGCCCATTACAGGTATGGCCTAGTAGTATGCCGGACTTCGAACCTTAGATCTAGAGGTACGAGATCGAAATCAGGACTGATCTTTCGTATTTGTGTTTCTGTGCATGATTCACTGAACAATGCCTCACTCGACCAGGAGTATAAATGAACACCGTCATATTTTTACGACAACCTGATAAATATGCTGAGGGTTTGCGCCCTGACCAAGGACATTGTTAAACTGGTATTCATGCAAATCATGATTTTAACTTACACGACTAGAAGAGCACGTGTACATCCGAACTGTGTGTTGTTACGAAGCTTAAAGTTATGAAATATTGAAATAAAAAGAAATAAGAATTATGTTTTAATTTCAATTATATTTCGATTTATTTTAATTCTAAAAACGTAGTTTTGTAATACTTAATTCGATAATGATGATGATGGGTCGAATCATAGTGTATATGTTAACAAATTAGTGACACTGTCGTCTCTAAGCAAGGTTTTCAGCTCAAACGGATTGAACCGTCAGATTACCACAACCATTGACCGTTTCTTCCTGTTGGAGTATGAAAGAGAGGCAATAAACCAATAGTGACAGGTGTTATGTCGTAGCAAGTTTTGTTTTTGACTTTACCCTCAAGTGTAGTGTTAAGAGTAAACGTACAATGGACAGTGTTTTGTTTAATCTTTCTAAACGGTAAATCAAAATAAAATTATTTTATAGTCATTTGCATAACTGCGGGCAAATGGATATGGAATAAATCAATACTTCCAAATCATTGTTTTAGAAAGTTTTAGTCTTTCATTATTCAAGACAAGCTTGAATTACCAGCATTTTCACAACAATAAGAATGTTGTAGACGTGATACATAATTGCAATTAGGGTTCCATCAAGACAACGAAAAAGATTCGTCATTTTTTAAAAAAATAATTAGATAGAATTGTATTTATGGAAGACGTCTCGTACAACACAATGTTTTAAATGAGAAAATCACGTTTCACAAGCGCCAAAGCCAAAGTACATCATCCACGATTTAGCGATCGTTTGCGCTTCAGACTCTCCGCTTTCTTCATTTTCCCAGGAATACTGTTTCACTATGCTAATCCTCTTGACAACTGAAAGGATCGTTTGATGATTTAATGTTTTCCTCTTTAGCTTGTCAGGCGGGAAAAAATCTGGAAGTATTTTCGAACCTTTGCGCCAGAACATCTCCGTTCGGCTCTTTCGGGTGGGCTCTTTTGCCGCTAGTCTACGTTTTTCACGAGACATGTTAGATGACACCACATGGGCACGGAAGACTTTCTTAGAAGAAGATTTTTCCATGATTGTAAGTCAAATTTTCTGGCTTAATTGTTTTTCTTAGAAACAATTCGAGATCCAAAAGATTCTCTTCTTTCGCGTGAAACCTCTTTTCTCAGTTGTGGGTTGTTCTGTACTTGATGACTTCTGTGAGAAGCAGATTCCCTGATAACAACTTGAATAAATAGTAAAATTTGATCAATGTTGCACCGTCAAGTGAAACGGAAAAGTGAGCGCGGCTCTACATAATTCAAGCAAAATGATTGTTGTTTTTGGAACAGTGTAAGATTGATATCAGTCATTTAATCAGACACATTACCCCAAAGGTAGAAGACGTCAATACGATATTAGCATAAACATTTCATATGCTATTTGATAGCGGCGTCTTTTGTAACAATGGCTAACAGGAGTAACAAACACGGGCATCTCCAACTTTAAAAAAAAAACACTGACCAAGGCTTAATAGCGCAACCTACACAACAGGACAACATGCATTATCGTATATCAAAAGCCTGACACATTGTCCAATAAAAATACAGGTCTATTTAGATATCATGCTAGCAAAAGTCAGTCAACCTTTTTCATAATGTAAGGTGAATTTGTTTTTACGTTATCTTACTTTTACTAGCAACATTGAATATACCCCTGACTAGCGTGGCTAAAGACATTTATTTAGAATTTAATTTCAGTCCTACTGATTCAGTGATTACAAGAACAACACCCTTTTAACTCTGAAGACGTGGCTAGAATTTCTAATAACCCCTGGTTGAACATCTGCGCAGCAAACGCAAACATCAATATTGACTAGCAAAGTGGCCGAGACACCGCAGAGGGAAGTACACGACGTATTATTTCCGACTGATTTGTTTTGGCCTAATACGTCAACAAACACACTCAGTTTTACCATATATGGTGATGTAAATTTGCACCCTCAAGTCGGGGCCGTAATGCTAATAGCATCACAGAAAAAAACAGAACTTACGTTCAAAAATAGAACATAAATATATAAATTACAATATTAAGAGTGAAAGCCACATCAACCTTGGCTGTTTTCAAGCAGGTCCTTTATCTTGGTCGAACATAATATAAGCCGGCAGTTAAGGAGCGTAAACGGTAAAGTGGCATCGTATGATATAATCGAAAGAGTTTACGCCACTTAAAGTTGAAAGGTATTGTCACCGTAACACGCGTTAATAAAATGTAAGATTTTTCTCGAAGCAATTCCCTTTTAAAGCCTAGACAATGTTTTGTATAATCTCAACTTGACAAAAAGCTGAAAAATAACGTGCCCAAACGTTTCGATACAAAATATACACGCCCAGTAAGCGTCTGCCGAGACAATCACGTTGGCGCATTTGATTTTGAAGGTTTGAAAAAGGATCGACTTGCCTTAGTTGCACAAAGAAAAATATAATGCACCATGGTTCATTCAAAACCAAAATTAAGTTTGGCACATAAGCACTACTGAAATAAGCAATGCTGATCAATAGACGCTAACGGAAAAATGCAAAGCATAAGTGGACTTTCATCCCTGCTACAAGATTTCTTCCTCGCATGAAGTACTTACATTAAAAGTACTTCAGGAAATTATAATGAAGCTCAATGCTGGATTTCTTCCGCGTCGATGTGGAAATGAAATAGCAACGTGGCTTGTTGTCTGCAACCTTTAGTTGTAGCAGTGTTTTTTTTTTAAGTCGTTTGCTAGGTTATCACTGTTGCAATTCTGCGAAGCCCGAGATATCATTAGTAAGTTTACCGTTACTGAAGGACTCACTCTGACATCACTGTATTGTTTTCTTCACTCAGTAGTCATTCACAGTCTCGGTGAGATACCAAGCACACGTTTACCACGAATTCAGACCTCCGAGATCGGACTGAACTCGCAGTCTTCCTGTCGAAGTTGCTAAGCAGCTGATCACGCAGTCATGGCGCGGTAACTTTCGGACTACTCTCGCTGTTCTGTCATCGGGAAACCAATATCGGAAATTCTACCAGTGCTTAAGCGAATATTCGCTGTCAGACGGCACTGAGGCACTTGTCCTCAGAGTGGTCTCTTCCCGACGAAGCGGCAAATCAGCACATGGACTATCAAATTACAATGGAACTGGGTGAAAGTTGGAACAACTCCTGAGTTGGAATGTTTTGTTGATTTTTGCAACGCTCTCAATCAAGGAAAATGGGTGAAATGGCGAATTAATACAAATGAGTAAAAATTGGTACCAAATAGATATGCGCTTTATAAATCAAATTTTATGATTAATATTTAGCACTGTGCTTCGCACCCTGTTTACCTCATTTTATATAGCATGAAACGATCTCACTCGAACATGAATCACTATAGGTCATTAATTTCTAAAGCGAAAAGAGGCGCGTTCAAAAAATAACAGAAATTGAAATTTTGTGATGGGCGATTGTGAGAATTTGCGCAAACAACGTTGTTTGCGTGGAACTCATTGCATTGTTTGTAATTATAGAATCTACGCAAGTTGCCTCGATCGTGGTTAAAACCTATTTCTTCCTATTTATTGAGAAACCCCTGAAACGGAGGTAATTCAGTTTCTTTTAAGAAAATTAAGTTTTCCCAAATTAGAGCGAGGTAAACAGCACGTTTTCTGTACAAAAATATCTCTTTTATGCGCATCACAACCTGCTCAATACAAATCAAATTAATTGCACCCCATAACAAAGTTTTCTGTTTTATCAGAAAAGTAAATTAGAGCCAGATGACGGATTTAATAAACAACAACGAGTCTTACTACTACTTCAGCTATTGCTACTACTACTAAAATGACATTAACAATCCTATTCCTCAGCATAAAACGCTGGATGGAAAAAGATTTTTTGACAATTCTACACCTGCCAGGTTTGTTTGTTGATCCGGCAACAAGTTTTGCATAATACGCTAGACGCATTCTTAGCCAAAAAACTTAAGCCAGGCGGCAATTCCTCTTTGTTTTTCAAAACATTCTCGTTTTCCACCGATTTTGAGAAGCTTTATTCCCAAGCAAGCGTTTTGGTTGAAAACTCCTGTACTTTGCATTGAAATACTGCTGCTACAGAATGTCGTTTCGGGAAAAAAATCCGGGTAGACTGTCCGCATGTGCGTGTTGCATTGAGTAATCGTTCTCGTAGTCGCTCCAATGTCCATAGTTAATACCATGGTTCGGCTTGTAGCCTTGCACAGAACCTTTCCCACACGATCATTCTTCTCCTTTGCTTCCCTTTTATATTCACAACGCTGGTGCAACGGTAACCTCGAATCATCAGTATTGTTCAGTGTACCTATCTCTTCGTTTACCGCTTCAAAAATAGTAGGAAGGCAAGCGATTCTCCGCCTAGTCTGAATTCTGCCTTGATAAGTAGCACGCATTTTTCCAAGGTGTCTGCAAAACCTACACATTCTGAATCTGAGGAGAGCTTTCCACCCGCTGATCCCAGCCTCTTCAAAAAAACAAACCTTAATAAGATACTGAAATGAGCATTCGCATGTTTATATACCATAAGTTTAATCAAAATAAATGTATATATATCACAAAACAGAACAATTTGACAACATATGATGCACTTCATGACAATAATGGCGTCTAATGCACGGATATTGATAATGATTTCAAAACCAATTTTACCATTATTGGAGACTTGTCTGGGCTTAATGTGAACCTTAGTTTTCTTTACGTCCAAACATCTCAATCGTTGTTCAAATTTAGCTGAATCAATCTAGAAGGCCACTGTTCTTTTCTTAGGTGTTTTGACTACAGTTGAGTAACATCAAGCAGCATGCATGGCACGTACCCCTTTTGTCATTTAAAGCTTGACAAAAACAAACGTGGAAACCAAAGGAGTGTTGTCTTTTTCTCTGCGTCGTATTCATTCGCTCGCTCTTTCATCAGAATTTTTACATATATATATATATATATATATATATATATATATATATATATATATATATATATATAAATCAAGTGGGAGAGCGTGCAAATGATTTGAATTAATTCAAAATTTGATGGACTTATTTTTTACTTTCAACTTCTTTTAAGATCCCTTTTTTTTGCCAGACAACAAGGCTAACACAACAGACATATCTTTCTTCACAAAGACTTCTAATCGTATTGGGATTTTTTTTTTCTCTCAAGCTTACTCCTTGCAGCTTAAAAACAACAAAAGATAACTTTGTGTTCCGATTGTTGATGGACGTATTTGACATATTCAATGTCCTCCGATTTCCGCTGTCGGTGATTGTTGTCCTTTTATAGTAATCTCCACTGCTGTACGTGAGAAGTCGCACGGTAGGAACATATGCAAAGCGAGCAGCCAAAAAAATACTTCAATAAATAAATAAATCAATTAATTTAGTATAATTTCCAGAGCGTTCATATTCAAATTCAGAAGCGAAAGATCGCCTTCATTCCAATTCGGTCTATTTTTATGCTTTCTTTTTTGTTTTCAATTTTACCCAGCTATTTTGTCCTTTAACACATTTTCAACACATGGATGGATCAAGCTCTGGAATTTACTTTTTCAAGCCAGTACAATCCATGTTTACGAATTATTCCGTCTCAGTGTTTGCCTCCTCATTGTATTACGTACATTAAATTTGTCGATGGTTGTTTGGTTTACAGTATGTTAAAGTTAATTTATTCTGCTTTCTTTTGTTTTTTAGAATTTTTTTGTTGCAATTGTACATTTGGTTTTATATTTTTTTATGACGTGTCGTTTGTTTGTTTCAAAGAAGAGAGCTATGAACATAAATAAGTAGATTGGTCATACCTCGACATGTTACAGCTGAGGTTTAAGCTGTTCTAAATTTCCTACGCACAGAAAAATAGATAAGGGAAAAAAGGCTCTGTCGAGTGTTTTTGGACAAGATTTAGCCGCTTTGATCTTTACCCAAGTAGTCGAAAAAAAGCGTAGTATTATGTTTAGAGTCAATTTTTTTAACAAACTACATAGACATTGTTTAAATCATCAAAGTAGGAAACTGAATAAAATCAGTAATTAATATCAGTCACACACACACTGATGCGCCTTCACGAAGATTTAATTAAGAACTTTAAAAATAATAAAGAATACAGTAAGGCTTCTTTAAAGGCGTCAGTAATTTATATTTTTTGTAAATAACCGAGATATATTAAAAGAAGGAAAGAGAGAAAATATATGGCAGTGAGTTCTAACAGCAATTAAACTTTCCCAGTGAAAATATGAAATATCATCGCACGCAGTTAGAAAAAAAATATTAAACAATGAAAGACAAGGCCTGAAAAAAATTCAGAATTGAACGTGATTCGAACCCATGACTTCAATGATACCGATGAAGTGCTCTATCGACGAGCTTCAATCCGACAGCATTTATTTCTAAACGCTTTTCTCTTACAAAAGTATCCGTTGTGTTAAAATACAATTACTCAATCAGCACCCGATAAAAAACTGACAACTTTTGCGGAAAGCACCAGAGGTGATAACACCACAACTAGTCTATTGCAATACAGGGTTGACGTTTCGGGCAGTCAATAGAAAGAGGCATCCACTTTAATGTATTCTTAGTTTACAACACATTTAATAAAACAGTATAAAGGACAGTAGGCTCGATATGACAAAGTAAATTAATGTTTCTAAAATTAACAATCACGTAGTTAAGTTTCAATCTCGATCTTCGGTCTGGCCCAGTATTAACGATTTTGACCCAAAATTTCTAATGAAACCGATAAAATTGAATACTTTAAGAGCATAACTTGATGTACAAATACATAATTTGTGGATTTGAAGGGGAAACCTTTGTTTTATGTATTTTTCATCAGTACTTTTGATACACAGCGTTGATATTTAAATCATCAAACAAAGTCAAACAATTGCTACACGCCTCGACTCATTTGTTTTTCCCAAGACCCTTCTGCGATTGACTAATTCAACTCAGTCAGTGTCAAAGTTTCTGTCTCTTCTTTATAAACAAGGCGGCAATTTTGTTTGGCCTGAACGGTGTATCTAGCATATGAGGCCTTCAAAGGTCAATTCCTTACTGAAGGAAAAATGAAGAATCATCAATGTCAATAAATTATTAATTTTGATTTCTATTCACTGCTACCTTGGTAAAGATTTATCATCCAAAAAACTCTAGCCAGGCAGCGATTTCGCTAAACTTGCAAGCTTGAGCATCTCTGTTTGGTATTTTCCCGAGCGTTTTCTTACTTGAAAGTGTAAAGCTGTTGTCTATAAATGACGATTTCATGTCCTGTGGGAAAAAGTCAGAATATGGCGTACTTAACAAGTGTCTCCACTCATCTTGAATTTGCTGGAATGACCGCGATGCATCTGCTTCTGTAAAGTCGGGTTTAATAAACGAAGGAACAATGCATCTCGCATTTTTTTGCCTTCTTGGTTTAGATCGTTTGTTCTTTTTGGTAAGGGGCAACATGATTCCGTACTCCCCCAGCTGTTCTGTTTCAATGACATGTTGCTGTTCGCTCTTTTCGCCTGCTGCAGTCTCTTCAGCCATTTCAACATCAGTAGCCTCATAAATTGTGGGCAATCGACGCCAGTAAGACATCGTTGTTGAACGACTCGGGGAATAGTCTCTGTGCTTTGAACCAGTAAATCGACACATCCTACTTCCCTGACGATTCAAAAACCCAAGGTTACTTCAAATCAGAGTTGTATGCTCAACGTAGTCGGCACCTCAAAAGTGAACTATGTTCAGTTGTAGTTTGACAACAGACCAAGCGTTGCATCAGCAGTCGCAGTCGAATTTGATTCTACCAAAGCGCTGGACTTAACTCTTCAGGGCAATATTTTCCCCCTTATATAGTGAACTGGCTAGATAAAACGATAACGATTTTTCATGTAGCTGAAGCGAGTTGATTAAACGTGACATGACATCGCCCTTTTCAATACTGAGATTAATATTACATTTCCTCGCTTTCTTATCAGCCAAAGATAAAAGATACTAATGAGCTCAATCTATAACCAAACAACTCACATACTGTTTCCACAGCCCGAAGCACGTGAATTAAGCACGTGCATCCATACACATCAAGAAGTATTTCGAAACTTACAGCTGCCAGCTGAACAAAAATAAAAGAAAGTTTAACAAGAAACGCACCGAACCAGCAATTCCTTTTTTTTTTCTACTGAAAAGTACTAAGTGTGGTATTTCGGTGAATCAGGTGAGACTTATGTGGGAAATTTACAAAATTTATTCAATCACTGTCTTACGCAAACGATGCAAATGATTCTGAAGAAATTGTGATAAGAATCATGCTTTTGCCGCCTTGATTTAACGAACATCACGAAAGCATAGATCGAGTTTAGAAACAATGATCTGAAGCACGAAGATAAAAAACTTCCAAGGAAACTGTGATTGATGAAAAGGAAGAAAGGAAACACTTAAGTTTATTTCAAAAGCTTATTACTTGTTTATATTTTTACTTATTGCTATCATTTATTGTTGTTGTTGTTGCTGTTGTTGTCGTTGCTGTTGTTCCCTCGACTACATTAGCCAAAAGGATACGTGACGAAAGCAATCTCTATATCGAGGTGTATTCTGACAACTTCCAAGAGTGCGTGGTTCACATAATCTATCTTAGTTTCACATTTTTACCTTTTTGAATCGGTACGTTATCTCAAAACTAACATGAAAAAAGATGCATAGTAATCCAATGGCAAATTTTCTAACGCGGATTAAAAAAGCTAAAACATGAATTTTGATCAGGTAGACTTTCAAAATATCCAGTAACTCTAAATACAAAAACAGCAAAGAGGACTGGAAGAGGCGTAACGGGGATGACGCAACACTTAAAGAACAACTTGTGAAACAACTTGATCAACCAAACGTGAGATTTGTTAATTATGCAAGTAACTTCCATAAATCTTTTGCATAGTATACCCTTGTCCCTAAAAACAAGTTGATGTATACACGCCACTTGTAAACTCATTGTAATTCACTTTGTGCGATTACGTAATCTACTAACTCAAAAGGCAAAAATGTATTAGTCTTCGTTAGCAAAAATTATGCTATTTGGAGAGAAAGACTAAACGTTTTTTTTTTGAGTCATCGTTCCAATTCATGAACAGTTACTGATTTGTTATTCGATTTTGTATCGATAATGGTATGAGTAATTATATAAATATTTGAATATCGTCTATTGTGAACTAGCCGAGTTATTTTTTGAAACAATTTATATCTCAGTCTCATAAATCATCTCCGTACCTTCCCAAAAGGCATTAAAAAGGGCTATTTATAAACAGTGTTTACAGGAAAAAACATTAAATTTGGCTTCAGGTGTACACGTTGTTGTCACACGTTGGAAATACAGAGGGCGTTCAAGTCGTGGAAAATTTAAAATGTGTGGGTGGCGTGGTCCTACTAAAACTGACTGGAAAACCGACACTTTGTTGTTGCAGTTTATCTGATCGTCGAGTCTGCCTCTCCTCGTACAAGAATGCACATGTCATTGTACGGCAGTCGATGAATCCAGACTGTGAAAAAAGTGCAAGTTGACGGAAACGGTTACTAAACATTGTGCCATGCGTGACTACTTAGGGAGTACAATGGTAAGCAGACATATCCCCCTATGTTATTTATCTAGAGTGTGTTCAGAATAGATTTTCAAAAACTTGCGTTAAATCGACATCAAAGAGGGCAAATGTAGCTGCAAATATTGACTTCCCTATGTTTTATTTCGTTACTTCTGCAAGAAGGCATCGTCAACTTGTGGTGTGGGAGGAGCACTGTACTGCCACACTTGTTTACATCCTCGGTTACATCGCCTGATCAGACAAAGTTTATCAGACAAAATACTGTAATGGATAAGCAGTTCATTTATCGAAGGAAGACTGGCATGGTTCCTTTTGTTTAAAGATATAGATTCCGAACTTTAGCGCCCGC